TAAGTAAGGATTTCAACAGTTTGCTCCCACACAGAAACATAAAGTGAAAAATAATAGATGATTTTTTTTAAATGATGATGAAATCAGATCAGACCTATTGTCATGTTTAATCCCAGTGAGAGTCAAGTTGGGAGTTGATAATTTCTTTTTTTTTTTTTTTTTTTTTTTTACAGAAGATCAGTTTAGTATGCATTAAGTAAAGATTTCAACAGTTTGCACCCCCATAGAAACACAAAATGAAATATATTGTTTGAGTACTCGTTATAGCATTAAATCTCAGTGCACAGCACATTAAGGACAGAGATCCTACATGAGGAGTAAGTGCACAGTGACTCCTGTTGTTGACTTTACCCATTGACGCTCCTGTCTATGGCATCAGTAATCTCCCTATGCTCCAGTCATGAGTTTCCAAGGCTATGGAAGCCCTCTGAGTTCTCCGACTCTTATCTTGTTTAGACAAGGTCATAGTCAAAGTGGAGGTTCTCTCCTCCCTTCAGAGAAAGGTACCTCCTTCTTTGAAGACCTGTTCTTTCCACTGGGATCTCACTCACAGAGATCTTTTTGCCAGAGTGTCTTGGCTTTCCATGCCTGAAATACTCTCATGGGCTTTTCAGCCAGATCTGAATGCCTTTAGGTCTGATTCTGAGGCCAGAGTGCTATTTAGGACATCTGCCATTCTATGAGTCTGCTGGGTATCTCACTTCCCATGTTGGATCACTCTCCCCTTTATTTATTCTATCGGTTAGTGTTAGCAGGTACTAGACTTGTTCATGTGTTCCCTTTGACTCTTAGTCCTTTCATTATGATCAATTGTGAACTGAAATTGATCACTTGGAATAGTGAGATGGCATTGGCACATAATAATCTATGATGCCAGCCTATTTTGGTATCAGTAGCTCCTTGCTAAACAATGTGGAGTTTATTTTCTTGAGTTCTGTTTCCAAGCCTGGTAACTTCTTTGTGTAATTATGTAATGTATTTAAGTGTTACACAAAAAAATGGTATACATGTATGTAATAGAACTAGGATATAGTCAAAAGTACAAAATTTTTCCCTAAAACTTAATAAATGTGATTTTTTAAAATTACTATAGCATTTAGGAAAAAAACATTAGGCAATTATAAAATCAAAAAAAATATGCAAACCTTGATATATTAGACCCTTCTTAAGGTTTCTTCAAGTTCTTCCTTCAATGAATAAATTAGTTTTGGGGTTATTCAGTGTGTATGGTTATTAAAAGTATGATGGCATTAATCCAAACAGCAGCAGATTCGTTCTTACAGATAAGGCCTCATAGAGCTATTACAGATTGGCGATTGATTTTACATTTAAATATCTTAATACAAAAATTAATAAGTATAATTTTTATTAATGATTTTCCATACTAAGTGTCTTGCCATAATTAACAAATTCATTTTCTGACGCTGATAGTATATTTAAGAATATTTTTGTGTGATTTTTTTCTTTTAACTATCCATATTTGTGGACACATGGAGATAATCAGGTATATTTAAAAATGCGTAATAACAAAATCAAGGAAATTATTTTCCTAACTCATCATTGCTTTATGTTTGGAGTCTTTTATAGCTCCTCTGTTCTAGCTGTTTATAAAACATGAAATAAATTATATGAGCTGCAGTCGTCCTGCTGTGCTGTAGAATGTTAAACTATAGCACTTCCTAATGGTGATTTCATAACTATCATTTAACCTCCTGGTATCCTCAGTGTCCCTGAACTTCCAGTTCATTAGCAATTAGTAATCACTAATCTATAGTTGAATAAACTTTGTATGAGAGAAAACATACAATATTTGTCTCTCCGTGTCTCATTTATTGCACATAGCCTAATGCCTTTCAGTTCCATCTATTTTAAAAATCTGTATGCATTCTGCTATTTTTTTCCTCAATCATTGGATTAGCTAGTTTTACAGGAGTCAAAGGACAAGTTCCTTGGTGTCAGTACATATTTCTAATGATCCTTGGGTTTCCCTTTGAATGTCAACCACTTTCCCTTTGAAATGATATAATATTCATGTGTGTTAACAACATTTTGTCAAGTATAAAATTGGATAATTTTTCTAAGATTTTAACTCAATGCTATTATTATTATTCTTGTCATGCCTCATTTATAGAAATTATATTTCATATTCTTTTAATGGAAAACTAAATAAAATATATTGAAACAAGACAAACTTAAATATTAATCCCATTTCTACTATACTTAATCTATCCAAATTTTGAAAAGATATTCATTATCCCTATGTCTCTGTATACCTGGAAAAATAGTTACTTTTTTGCCAATATGTTTTTGAGAATCAGTTGAGTAAGCTGAGTAAACTTTATGACACTGAGTATGAGAGAGAGCTGACTGTACATTTCAATATTTTCTGAATATATTTAAGATTTGAAAACAAACTATCTGTCATGATGGTAATCTTATACATGAAATTTTCAGTATAAGCTGTACTATGTAAAAATCACCCATGCTTTGTAAAATACCAATGTGACAGTTCACATAAACAGTTTCTTGGGGAGATAGTGGCATAGTGAAAGTGGTATTACAGTGCAAATGCAAGATTCATATCCCATTTTTTTCCCATTCCTCCAAATAGACTACAAAAGGGGGAAAATTTTATGAAATGGAGGAGGACATTTATAGCACATGTGACTGGTAAAGTGTATGTGTATACATATAACAAGATATATTGCATTAATAAGAAAATACCAGCACAATATAAAAATGCAAAACATGACAAACATTTAACAAAAGAGTTAACATAAAGTGAGCAGTAAAAACATGAAAATATTTTTCAGTAACATCACTGTTTAAAGAATTTAGGTTAATCAAAATAAACTGCCATTTAACAAACCAGACCGGAAATTTTACAAAATTTCAAAGTTCTGGATTGGATATAGATAAATTAAAATGATTATAAATTACATAATCTATATATAGTTAAAACTACAGTTGTAAATTTTCATGCCAAAGATCCAAGAATTTCTTTGAATTATCTCTATAGGAAAAATCAACATATATATAATAACTCTGCTGTATTTATATATCACACAGAAAATAAATTAATAACAATATAGTCACCATAAGGAACAGTCTTTTTTTTTTTTTTTTTTTGGACAGGCAGAGTTAGTGAGAGACAGAAAGGTCTTCCTTCCGTTGGTTCACCCCCCAAATGGCTGCCACAGCCGGCGTGCTGCGCCAATCCAAAGCCAGGAGCCAGGAGCTTCCTCCTGTTCTCCCATGCGGCTGCAGGGCCCAAGCACTTGGGCCATCTTCCACTGCCCTCCTGGGCCACAGCAGAGAGCTGGCCTGGAAGAGGAGCAACCAGGACAGAATCCAGCACCCCAGCCGGGACTAGAACCAGGGTGCCAGCGCTGCAGGCAGAGGATTAGCCTAGTAAGCCGTGGTGCCGGCCAGGAACAGTCTTAGAAACAAAATGTTAGATGAAATATTTTCTCAGAAATGTGGCAGAAAATTTCATTCAAATATGATAACATTTTGTAAAACTGGAAAACTAAATAACATATAGAACCAAATAAGCTAATGCGGAAAAATAGTTATTAAAAAAGAAACGCTAGAGTAAGTTTAATGTAATCACTGACATGAATAACTACTGTTCAGTAAAAATAAAATGATGTATAAAAATGTAGATTTAATTTGAGATAATGGGGCTGAAAATCCTCTATAGCCCCTTGTAACATACCTGTATGTGTTCTGGTATTTTTTTCTCAATCACGGGACTAGCTGATTTTATATTTCTCTAAAAGTAAATCTTTTTACTAGTCTTTTTCTTTTCTTTTTTTTTTTAAGATTTTATATATTTATTTGACAGGTAGAGTTACGGACAATGAGAGAGACAGGTCTTCCTTCTGTTTGTTCACTCCCCAAGTAGCCACAATGGCCAGAGCTGCCCCAATCCGAAGCCAGGAGCTGGGTGCTTCTTCCTGGTCTCCCATGTGTGTGTAGGCGCCCAAGCACTTGGGCCATCCTCCATTGTCTTCCCCGGGCCACAGCAGAGAGCTGGACTGGAAGAAGAGCAATGAGGACTAGAACCGGTGCCCATATGGGATGCCAGTGCCGCAGGTGGAGGATTAACTTAGTGAGCCACGGCACTGGCCCCTACTAGTCTTTTTCTTGGTGTGTTATTCTTTTAATGATTTGGGTATTTTCAGAGGATGACACGTACATCAGCAATGAGCAATAGATAGAAGAGAGGGGAGGAAGAGAGGGAGGGAGGGAGGGAGAAGAGAGAGAGGAGAGAGATGATTCAAGTTTCCTATTATTCTGAATCTGTATATTTGTCATGTAAAACAAATCCTTTTCCTTTTTTCTTGCATGTCAGAATTAATGAACTTACTGAAAAATGAGAAGACTTAGTTCCAAACATATTTTAAACTATTGAATATAATATTTTGATCTCTTCCAGAGTCATATGTAAATCCTATGCTAAATTCTCATTTAAATTATTCTTTATTTTTCCCCAAGTGTGACTTAGTATCACACACTGCATATATTCTCGCATAAGAAGAAAATGATCCTTTGTGTAAAGAACTTTGCTTTCTGTTTTCACTGACTTTATTTAGATTTCAGACCTTGAACATTTGAAAGATTATGTGATCTTTTTTTTACCAACTGCTGTGCTTTTCTTAGATTAATGATGAAACCAATTGTTCATCCCCTAGACTCTGACAGCACACAATGAATTCTGACAACTTTCTCCCACTCCAGTTCCTGAATAACATGCAATTTCCTTGATATGACAAAATATCGTTTTAGCATTCATGTCATACCTTGGTGTTCATTTTTCATTTTTCTGTGAGTTAATGAGTTCTAGTGAAGAGTTCCTTCATAAAGTTGTCTTTTGCCAAAAGTCCTGCTACAGCATATGGAGCTGGTGACAAGCTCCAGTATTAAGGAGATTTGTTGTAAACCAAGCTTCTAAAGTGTGCATGGAAATACTAAATACATCCCTGTGTGTTTTGCAGACAATCCTGGTTTGCTGAGCCATGTCACTGTGGGTATTAGAGTTCTGGATGTCAATGACAATCCACCCGAACTTGCCAGGGAATATGATATTGTTGTCTGTGAAAATGCTAAGCCCGGCCAGGTAAGTTAATTGTTTCCTTCCTATCATTTGAATGGAAGAAAAACAAGCAGCTTTATTTCTATTATTCTTGGGTATAATCCTCCAAATCCCCCAGTATAATTTTTGTACTCTGAAAATAATTTCATAAAGCTTTATTTTAAGTGCAAAATAGATTTTTTGAGAACTGCAGAAAATGAATTTTCACTGTATCCCAAATGTAATTCAGAAAAATAAGCTCATTAAACATGATACATTTGCCATGCCAGTGACATTGTATCGAATGCTTTATGTAGAGCCCTTCATAAGAGAGAAAGAAACAGTGAAATTCCCTGTCCTAAAGAAGCTGATAGACTGTATCGGGAAGTGGGAACTAGCTTGGTAAATCTGGAGGTTCTGATGGAGAGGCAAGTCAATGGTGATTGAATGATGGTGGTGCTAGGAGGCGATTGTCACAACAGGAAGAGAGTGTGTGTAGCTTTGGTCATAATGGGAATTTTCCAAGAACTTTTGATGGATGCACACGTTAATGGGCTGGGGAGAGTGAAGGCAGAGCTTGAGCACAGAACAGGAGGCTCCAGAGACAGGAACGTGAGGATTCTGAAGAAAAGCCCTTGTGACCATGGCCCACAAAGCAAGAAGGAGACTTGGGAGGGCTGCTGGATGTGCCTTGGTTTTCTCTGTTTTACAACAAATTACACAAAATCTGTATTTTAAAATAAGCCACGTTTATTGTCTCACCATTCCTGGAGGTCTGGCCCCTGTGTATGGCTTAGCCAGGAATGGCAGGCGGCAGTCATCGCCATGCTTTGAGAGCCTGAGCCTCACATGTTGCTTGGCAGAATTCAGTTCCCTTAGTTACAGACATGGAGCATCGGGATTTGCTCAGATCCTCACGACTGTGCATAGTCCTTTGCCTCCTGGGCCTCCCTGTTACGCACTTAGCTTCAGTAAGGAATCTACGACCTGACACCATCAAATTATTAGAGAGCATTGGAAAAACCCTGCAAGATATAGGGACCGGCAATGACTTCTTGGAAAACACCCCAGAAGCACAGGCAGTCAAAGCCAAAATTAACATTTGGGATTGCATCAAATTGAGAAGTTTCTGTACTGCAAAAGAAACAATCAGGAAAGTGAAGAGACAACCGACAGAATGGGAAAATACATTTGCAAACTATGCAACAGATAAAGGGTTAATAACCAGAATCTACAAAGAAATCAAGAAACTCCACAAGATCAAAACAAACAACTCACTTAAGAGATGGGCCAAGGACCTCAATAGACATTTTTCAAAAGAGGAAATCCAAATGGCCAACAGACACATGAAAAAATGTTCAAGGTCATTAGCAATCAGGGAAATGCAAATCAAAACCACAAGGAGGTTTCACCTCACCCCAGTTAGAATGGCTCACATTCAGAAATCTACCAATGATAGATGCTGGAGAGGATGTGGGAAAAAGGGAAACTAACCCACTGTTGGTGGGAATGCAAACTGGTTAAGCCACTATGGAAGTCAGTCTGGAGATTCTTCAGAAACCTGAATATAACCCTACCATTCAACCCAGCCATCCCACTCCTTGGAATTTACCCAAAGGAAATTAAATTGGCAAACAAACAAGCTGCCTGCACATTAATGTTTATTGCAGCTCAATTCACAATAGCTAAGACCTGGAACCAACACAAATGCCCATCAACAGTAGACTGGATAAAGAAATTATAGGACATGTACTCTATAGAATACTATACAGCAGTCAAAAACAATGAAATCTGGTCATTTGCAACAAGGTGGAGGAATTTGGAAAACATCATGCTGAGTGAATTAAGCCAGTCCAAAGGGACAAATAGCATATGTTCTCCCTGATTGGCGACAACTAACTGAGCACCAAAGGGGAAACTTGTTGAAGTGAAATGGACACTATGAAAAACGGTGACTTGATCAGCTCTTGTCCTGACGGTTGATGTACAATGTAATACTTTATCCATTTTAGTATTTTTTTGTTCTAGTATCATTGGTTGAACTCTGTAATTAACACACAATTGTTCTTAGGTGTTTAAATTATACCTGAAAAGTGATCCCTCTTAGGAATTTGGAAAACATTATGTTGAGTGAAATATGCCAATCCCAAAGGGACAAATACCACTTGTTCTCCTTGATAGGTGACAACTAACTGAGCACCAAAAAGGAAACATGTTGGAGTGAAATGAACACTGTGAGAAACGGTGACTTGATCAGCCCTCACCCTGACTGTTGATGAGCAGCTTAGTATTGTCGCTCCCCCTCTTCATGGAGGAACGACACAGGACCCTGCGCTGTTCTTTTGTCTGCTCGGCCCTTCCCGGGTTTGCTGCTGGTCCTTCCCAGGTTGGCTGCTGATCCTTTCCACCTCCGTGGAAGGGCGGCTCCCCCTGCCACTTTCCCCACTTCCGCGGGGGAGCGGCACACCGCCGGCCGGCTCTTTGGGGGCTGCTCAGATGTTATCCGGATGTTCCCTTTAGATGTTCCTGGTGCATGTTGTCTCTCTCCTCTTTTATAGTTCTCTTCCACCAATTCCAACTCTGCTACCCACACGCCGAGTATGCTGCTCTTCTCCAATCAGGAGCAGGATCAGCTCCTGCAGGTCATCACTCAAGTTGGCGAGAGACAGCTGCGAAGAAGTTGTTTACTCCCTTCTCAGCACCATATTGTGGGAGAGCAGATGCATAGAATAAGTCTTAATTCCATTAACTTAGTCTGGTCTGAGTTGCTCCCCACAAGTATGTTATCCCTCTTAGTATTTTTTTTTGTTTGTTCTACTTAATACTTTTGGTTGAATACTGTAATCAATACACAATTCTTCTTAAGTGCTGAAACTTAACTGAAAAGTGATCACTGTTAAATATAAGAGTGGGAATAAGAGAGGGAAGAGATGTGCAATTCGGGACATGCTCAAGCTGACTTGCCTCAAACGGTGGAGTTAGAAACATACCAGGGGATTCCAATTCAATCCCATCAAGGTGGCATGTACCAATGCCATCTCACTAGTCCCAGTGATCAATTTCTGTTCACAATTGATCATAATGATAGGACTAAGAACCAAAGGGATCACATAAATAAGAATAGTGTCCGCAAATACTAGCTGATAGAATCAAAAAGGGAGAGAATGATCCAACATGGGAAGTGAGATACACAGCAGACCCATAGAATGGCAGATGTCCTAAACAGCACTCTGGCCTCATAATCAGCCCTTAAGGCATGCAGATCTGGCTGAAATGCCCATGAGAGTATTTCAGGCATGGAAAGCCAAGACACTCTGGGGAAAAAAAAAAAAAAAACTAAATGAAAGATCTCTATGAGTGAGATCCCAGTGGAAAGAATGGGTCATCAAAGAAGGAGGTACCTTTCTCTGAAGGGAGGAGAGAACTTCCACTTTGACCGTGGCCTTGTCTAAATATGATCAGAGTCAGTGAACTCAGGGGCCTTCCATAGCCTTGGCAGCTCATGACAAGAGCCTAGGGTGATTACTGAGGCCATAAACAAGAGTGTTAATTTGTTAAGTCAACAACAGGAGTCACTGTGCACTTACTCCTCATGTAGGATCTTTGTCCTTAGTGTGCTGTACATTGAGATTTAATGCTATAATTAGTACTCAAACAGTATTTTTCACTTTATGTTTCTGTGTGGGAGCAAACTGTTGAAATCTTTACTTAATGTATGCTGAACTGATCTTCTGTATATAAAGAGAATCGAAAATGAATCTTGATGTGAATGGAAGGGGAGAGGGAGTGGATAAGGGGAGGGTTGCGGGTGGGAGGGACGTTATGGGGGGGAAGCCATTGTAATCAATATTCTGTACTTTGGAAATTTATATTCATTAAATAAAAGTTTAAAAAAAAGAAAATTATTTTTTGAACAAAGGACTATTTAGCATAGAAAAAGAAAGTTTTGAATACAAAAATAAGAAAAAATTGAAATGGGAAGTATATATAAGCAAACATTTGGCCAAAAAGGTTATACCATTAAGAAAGAAGTACATGAGCAGATGTTCAATATCATTAGTGATAAGCTAATTAAAATTTAAAGCTACGATAAGACATCATTATATAACCATCAGGAGGGTTAAACATCATGAAATGCTCATGAGATATGGAGAAATTACATCACTTATATGTTGCTGGTGAAGAAGTGATAAATATAAGATCAGTGTAAACATATTACTTATATTTCTTAATATTAGGAACAAATTTGCTGGCGCTGTGGCTCAATAGGCTAATCCTCTGCCTGTGGCGCCAGCACCCCATGTTCTAGTCCTGATCGGGGCGCCGGATTCTGTCCCAGTTGCCCCTCTTCCAGGTCAGCTCTCTGCTATGGCCCGGAAGTGCAGTGGAGGATGGCCCAAGTGCTTGGGCCCTGCACCCATATGGGAGACCAGGAGAAGCACCTGGCTCCTGGCTTCGGATCAGCGTGATACACCGGCTGCAGCGCACCTGCCGCGGCTGCAGTGGCCATTGGAGGGTGAACCAACGGCAATAGGAAGACCTTTCTCTCTGTCTCTCTCTCACTGTCCACTCTGCCTGTCAAAAAATAAAAATAAAAAAAAATTTAATTGTTGCAGCACTTAATATCGCTTTAAAAAGTAGAACACTTAGTGTTAGATTCTGCTTTGTCAGGATTCAACTACTTCCCTTAAATATAGCAGCTCTCAAATCATAAGGCCTTTTCTTCAGTTAATCTTTTTCTTTTTGTTCTATGTAAATTGAAGGATTTATGTATGTCATGAACAAACATAAGCTAATGTTAGCTTCAGATATTATTAGGCACTTTCTATTTTTTAATGAAGACACTTATGCATACATTTTACCTTCCAAAACATTTTTCTCTTTTATTTTTTGAGATAGCATGTTTTTAATTTATATTATAGTCATAGTGTTTATGCTCACTAAATAGTCTAATGAATAAAATTTAAAGGATCATAGTTTAGCAGGAATATAAGCAAGAGCTATAAACAATCAACTGAAATGGTATTTAACTTCACTCACATAAA